TTGCATCCAGGTTCCTAAAAAACGGATGGAACTCATCCTTTTTTATGCCTGCATAGTTTCCATGGTGGCATATGTGGTTTTCTTCTATCCAGTCTGTCACTGAGGACATTTGGGTTGATTCCAAGTCTTGCTATCTTGTGATAGTGCTGCAATAACACATACATGTGCATGTGTCCCTTATAGGCAGCATGAACTTAAATCCTTGGGTATACTACCCAGTAATTGGGATGGCGTGGGTCAAATGTATTGTCTAAGTCTGATCCTTCAGGAATTGCCCCACTGTTTTCCCACAATGGTTTGAAACTAGTTTACAGTTTCCCATCAGAACAGTGTAAAAGTGTTCCTATTTCCTCCACATCCTCTTCCGCACCTGTTGTTTCTGATTTTTTAATGATTGCCATTCTACTGGTTGAGATGGTATTCCATTGGTGTTTTGGATTGCATTTCTCTGAGGCGAGTGATGATGAGCATTTTTCATGTGTCTGGTTGGTATATGAATGTCTTCTTTTGAAGAATGATTCTGTTTCATATCCTTTGCCCCCTTTGATGGGGTGTTTGTTTTTTCTTGTAATTTCATTGAGTTCATTATAGTTCCTGGATACTTATGCCCTTTTGTCAAGATGAGGAGATTGCAAAAATGTTTCCTCCAGCTGTAGGTTGCTTGGCACTCTGATGTAGTTTCTTTTGCTGTGCAGAAGTTTCTTTAGTTTATAGATCCCCACTTGTCAATTTTGCTTTGCTGCCATTGCTTTTGGTGTGTTTAGACATGAAGTCTGTTGCCCATGCCTATGTCCTGAATGGTATATACCCTAGGTTTTTTCGAGGTTTTTATGGTTTTAGGTCTTAACATTTACGTCTTCTTAATCCCATTCTTTGAATTAATTTCGTTTATAAGAGTAAAGAAGGATCAGTTCAGCTTCTACTTATGGCTAGCAAATTTTCCCAGCACCATTTATTAAATAGGAATCCTTCCCCATTCTTCTGTTTTTTCTTCAGGTTTTGTCAAAGATCAGATGGCTGTAGATGTGTGTAATTAATTTCGGAGGGCTCTGTTCCTTTCCATTGGTCCTATATCTCTGTTTAGGTACCAGTCTACCCATGCTGTTGGTTACTGTAGCCTTGTAGTATAGTTGAAGGGGTTTCAGGTAGCGTGAATGCCTCGCTTTTGTTTCTTTTGACCTTAGAGTTTTTGGCATGCCGGGTCTTTTCTGGGTTCCATATGAACTGTAAAGCAGTTTTTCCAATTCTGTGAGAAAGTCACTGGTAGCCTGTGATGGGATGGCATGTGAACTATAACTTACCTTTGGCCAGTAATGGCCATTTTCACAATAT